AAATAAATAAAAATACTTGGAGAAACTGATTATAGAAAATTATAGCATACTGGTATGTAAATAATCATTTGATACAGTTATTTCACATGGTAACTGTGAATAAAGTCACTTTGTGTCCATACATTGACCACCTTCCTTCTGAGGGGCCTTAATTGAATGGGAGAGCAGTAATAAGTTCCAGAGCTTTTTACCACTCAAGGCACCAGTTGAAATTCAGCCTAGTGTTGAAGGCAGAAAATTATTATTGTCTGTCATTTGTTGTTGCCGATGAGTTAGGTACTCACTGGTTGAGATAAGTATTCAGTACCTAATCAACCAGGCATCCAATTTTGAAAAACTTCATGTTTCTGGCAGATGTTGCCATACCTATCTTATTAAAAATCAGTGGGTCCCAAGTGTCAGAGCTTTTAGCTGACTTCTCTGACCAGCTCCAAACTTGGCAAATAGTTGCCCTAATCAAGAAATTTACACAATTTCCTCAAATCCTTAAAATGTGCCTGTCCTGTCTGTGCCAATGTCATCTCATTTTTTCCTGCTTTCATCGCTTACCTCATTTCCTCCTTTATTCCACCCTGTCTCTCTCATGCACTTCCCCTGAATGCTCATTTGATCCGTTTTGTTCTCAGTTTTTACACATCTTTTAGTAATTTTTCCTTTTCCTGTTCAACCTAATGTTGCCTTTTTTTAAATTGTTCAAAATACACTTTAAAAAATATTATTGACCAGTTTTCTCCCTTTCTCTATTTTAGATTTTTCTTTTTCATTTCTGATTATAATATATGTGAGGAATTTATTTTGTTTATCTCTTTAAAGTTCTCAGCCTCTTCTTGGGACTCATTAACTATCTAGAAATGAAAACACTGTTCTTTGTACTTTGGCGTCTTTAAATGGAACATAAAGTATAGGGTGATTTTTGTGTTTATAGTCCTTCCTCCCAGTCATCCTTGGATGGTTAAGTATCAGCTTCTTGGTAAACAGGAAATTATTTTCTAAACAAATGGATGTTGTCCAATATTCCCTTAGTAGAGAAAAAAGGATTTTCTACATTATGAACTCAAAGCCAGATCTAATGCATGGGGTAGGCCAAGTGTAGGAGGGTGACAAGGCCAAACAAATGCAAATATCATCATTAATAGCTTAAGACATGGAGCTCAGTACCAGAAAATTCAAATATTTCTGGTTAAAAATATAAAAGTGTAAATCTTTGAGTATAACTGTCTCCTATTTAAAATAATACTTTATCAGCCTATTAGATACATTTATTTTGTATATATTAAGTTTTAATTGAGAAAGCATATTTTTCTGTTCTGAGACATGGAGACTTACTGATATTTGATTGTTAGAATGATAATATATATTTGTTCAAATATATTTCTTTCATTCATGATGATGAAATTATTTTTCTTATTTACTGAACAAATCTTATAGCTGCTAGCCAAATTATCACTTATTAAAAAACATATCTATTCCTAGGAAGATAAACCTCAGAGACATTGTTGCTTACTTAACCTTAGATGAGATCTGAAAGCCCTTGCTGGTCTCATGCTGTGACTGCTAACCTCTTTTAGTGCTTATAAAGGGAGGCTTGTTTTGCTTATACCTGCTTTATTTTTGTTCTAGTGTTACTTGTGGCTTATGAGTTTCCTAAGTAAAATTCATTAGAAGTTCAGCATTATGGCCTTAAATATCATTACCTATTTTCACTTGTGCTATTTTTCTTCCCTACAGACTGGTTGAGGTAGCAGAATCTCGTTTTCCCAGATATTTTAACACTGAAGAAAAATTACTTTTGACAAGCAGTAAGGTTCATCTTTATCGGGAACTCAGCTGTGATGAAGTTCTGCAAAGGTATGCTGCTTTAGATTTTGGTATGTTAGAAATACTTTGAAGATTTATTTTTTGTTTTTTATGTTCTCAGTTGAGTGAAAAAAAAAAGTCTCTACATATGTATTAGGGTTATGGGAAGTAATTATTTCAGTGTTCTTTATTTGCTACAGTCTATTGGATGAAGTATTTCTTTAAAAATGAAAACAAGTTGAATGAGTGAAATGTTTTAGATTTAATTAATTACTTAAGTGGTGTATTAATTATCTATTGTTCCATTGGCAGGTTACCCCCAAAATTCAGCAGCTTAAAACAGCAAACATGTATGATCTCACGTAGTAGCAGAGGCTTAGGTATCTAGGAGTGGGTTAGCTGTGTTTCTGGCTTGGGGTTTCAGGAGAAGTTGCAGTCAAGCTGTTGGCCAGGGCTGTGGTCATCTCAAGGCTCAAAGAGGGCTGGAGAATCTTGGAGAATTCTAAGGTTACTCGTGTAGTTGCTGGAAGGCCTCCCTTCCTTGCTGGCTGTTGGCCAGAGGCCTCTGTTCCTCACCATGTGGGCCTCTCCATAGGGCTGTTAACAACATGGCAACCTGTCTCCCCCAGAGAGAGGGATCTGAGAGAGTGGGCATGTGAGAGAGAGCCCAAGGTGGCATCTGTAGTCTTTTATAACTTACCCTCAGAAGTGACATACCATCATTTTGTCATATGCAGTTGATCATGTAGACCAACCCTGGTAAATGTGGGAGGGGACTGCACAAGGCTGTCTGTCAATACAAGGTGGGAGTAAATGGGGGCCATTTTGGAGATGGGCTATGATAAGCAGTTTTATCCTAAAATTAGTAGTATCGTAGGAGAGCTGGAGAATGAAACTAAATGAAAACATGTTGGTGCATTTTCAAAAGAGTGCTATATGTATAGAAGAGCTGGAAATAAGTTATGATTATTGAATACTTGCAATCATTACTGTAACTTAGGAAAGACCAATTTGTTGTCATTGTTTTTAAGTTGGTTAATCTTTGCAGTACCCTGTTTTATATTATATCTTAAATTTATCTACTATTTTGCAAATTCTGCTTTTACAGGATTGAATCTTTGGAAGAAGAAATTATTTCAAAGGGAGTTAAACTTGTAATTATTGACTCTGTTGCTTCTGTGGTAAGAAAGGAGTTTGATACACAACTTCAGGGCAACATGAGAGAAAGAAACAAGTTCTTGGCAAGAGAAGCGGCCTCCTTGAAGTATTTGGCTGAGGAATTTTCAATCCCAGTAAGTTTTTTCTTTTTCTCTCTTTTTTTCTTTTTCTTTGTTTTCTTTTATGTTAAGTTCACTGACTTAAAATATCAACTAATATAATTAGAAGAAAATGTAAAACAGATGATGTGTTAAAGGTAGCATGGTCTAATTGCTATAATAAATACCACCATCTTCTTAAGTTTGTTCATCTGTTGAGATTATCTTTTTCACAGTAGGAGTCTGGAGCAGATTTAAATGTTGTTTGTAAAAGTTCCTATGTGGTCAGTCCTTTTCTCAATCCCATTGTTGACTCTCTGTGTATGTTTTGTATTACTTTTGTCACATCGAGGTAAACATTGACTACTAAAACTACATGAAATTGCCTAGGTCTATTTCTGTAGTTCCTTTTATGGCAATATTTGTCAGTTTTATATATATTTTAGATTTAGATATTATGTTATTATGTTCGGTGCTGTCTTGTACTCTGTAGGATTTGGTTTGCTCCAAATGGCCAGAGGTTGACTATCACATTTTAAAGTATTGGGAGTGATAGTGATGAAAGTGTCAGTAAGGAGACCTTGAGAGATTACTGTTGACTCCACTTTCAAAAGTGGGGATTGTGATGAGTAAATCTGAAGATGTGGGTATCTTGCAAGGGTTTGCAGTGGTTAAGCTATAAGGTCTAAGTGTGTACTGTTTGCTTTCCCAGTAGCAGTGCATAGGAGAGTTCTGCTTATTCTGCAGCCTCAGCAACATTTAGTATTGTCAGGCTTTTCAATTTTAGCCAGACATCATCTCAACAGAAGATAAGACAATTCCTTAAACTGAGGTAAGATTTAGTTATGATTTTATAATCTTTAGATTCGTGTTTGGAAAATTAAAAGCTTGGATCTTTGTAATATGTACCAAGATGGTAAACTACCACACAGCCTTTGAGATTTATAAACCCAAGCAAGAAGTCAAAGGAGAAAATGTGACATATAAAAAGTTCTACATTTCTTAATGGCTTTTTAATTCGTATTTTGGATTATATGATGTAATTCCTGGTGAAGTCAAGGGCTGTAAAGTTTATCCCGGATGATGCTCATCTTTTAAATTTTATTATAGTTGGTTAAAATGATAAATCCAAATCCATGTTTTCCCTGGCCAAGGGAATTTAAAAATATTTTGTGGGGTTACTTGATTAAATGGAAAAGTTAAGGATGTATACTTATTTTATTAATTCATAGTGGTTGCTTGACTTAATCCTATATAAAATATGAAAATTCACTTTTTAAAAGTTGTATTTATTTGCTTTTAAATAGTAATTGTAGGCTAATGTTTTCATTTTTTTTCTGAGGTAATTTATTTTCCTGAGTGAGAAAAGGGCTCTGCTTTTCTTTGTTTTTATTAGTGCCCTCTGAAAGAATAGGTACTTATTATTTCCATATCTCTCTGTCTTTGCCTTTGTTTTTCTCTTTAGAGATAAGTGCAGAATATAACATGCACTTCTGTAACACAGGATGGTAGTGGTTTTTGTGACAAGTTAGTATTGGTTTTAGAAGGATTTTGAAAAATACTTCCTTTAGGAAGTGTGGGAATTTTCCTAGCCTAATTACCTCATTTAAATGAAAAATCATGAACTTTTAAGTTTTTAAGCTGTACTTTGAATAGGCGACTCCACATGGAACTAGCTAGCTGAAAACAATATGTCGCTATCTAATTTATTATCCCTTTCAAAATCACAGACCATATGCCTCTTTATAGTTCCTCAAACATTCCAACAACCATTCCTGCCTCAAGAAGTATTTGTTATTCCTCAGTCTGGAATATTTCCCCCTCTGAATATCCATATGATTTCTTCTCTCCTGTCATCTTATTAATGGGGACTTTCCCGACCATGTAAGTATTAACCACACTCCCTGCCTCCCCATCTCCCTTATTATGCTTTATGTTTCTTTGTTACAGTTTTCACCTTCTAGCATGTTATGTATTTATGTTGATTGTGTGTGTATCTCCTCCACCCCGTAGAGTGGTCACGGGGACTTTCTACTTTCTTCACTGCTTTATTCTCAGCAGGAGGAACAGTGCTTAACACACAGTAGGCACTCAGTAAATATTTTCAAATGTATGAATTGCAGATATTCCTTTTCTCTTTGGACTTGAGTTAATCTTATATATATTGGTATTACACTTAAATATTTAATATTTGCTTTTAGCCTTATTTTGATCCTATCTTTAATATTGTTTATTATTTCTAATAGTAATAAAATACAATATTAGATAGCAGAATGTCTTATCATATAGGAGGTGTACTCAGATTACCCTGGCATCTTATAGGAAGAAAAAGAATTCTTAAGATTCTTAAGCTTGGAAAAGTCTTTAGAGCTCTATATATATATCAGATCTATAGATTTATATAGTATCAGAAAGCCAGGAAGTAGAAAAGATTCTATTTCAGTTTAGTAGAACTATGATAAGTGAATGTCTGATGGCCTCTGAGGAGTGGGCAGGAAGCCAAGCATTCCAGCCTGCCCTCTGGCTGTGGATCTGAGATGGTGGATAGGGCCAGGACCATGCCTGGTACTTTGACACTCTAGATATCATTTCATTCAAATAAGAGTAAAGAGTAAAATCACCTTTAGGTGGTGGATGAGTACTTTATTGAATTTTAAAATTTCTTTTCAGTGAACATGCAATACTTTTAATAAGTAGGAAAAAGCTAAAAGTATAATCTATACTTAATTTTGATTGTCACATTGTATGTATTTGTAAATGTTTGCATGCAAGGATGCCTGCATGCATGCATGAAGATTTCAGTCTTCTCTCTCAGTGATTGATAAAATAGACAAAATGTTAGCAAATTAAATCCAGAAAGTCAGAAGCCTGAATAACATAACCAACTTGATCTAATTGACATTTACAAAACATTCCACTCACTGCTTGCAGAAAATGCATTTCATTCAGGTACACATGAGATATTCACCAAGATAGTCAGTATTCTGGGCCATAAAATAAAACTCAACAGATTTAAAAGGTTGAAATGGTACAGTGTATGTTTTTTGACCCACAAGAAGAATAAATTAGAAATCATTAATACAAACATATCTGGAAAATCCCCAAATATTTGGTAATTAAGCAAAGAATAAATCACAAGAGAACTTAGAAAATATTTTCAAGTAAATCAAAATGAAAATACAACATATCAAAATTTGTGAAATGTGGCTAAGTCACTGCTTACAGGGAAATTTATACAATTAAATGCTTATATGAGAAAGAAAGGTTACAAATCAATAAGCTTGTAAGAAATAGAAAAAGAAGAATAAATTAAACCCAACATAAACAGAAGGAAGGAAATAATAAAGTGCAGAAATCAATATAATTGAAAACAAAAACAGTAGAGAAAAAATCAATGAAATAAAATGCTAGTGTTTTGAGAAGACCAATAAAATTGATAAAACTTTACCCAAATTGACCAAGAGAAAAAGAAAAAACAAATTAGTAATATCAAGAATGAAAGAGGGGAGGGGTGCCTGGGTGGCTCAGTAGTTAAGTGTCTGCCTTCGGCTCAGGTCATGATCCCAGGATCCTGGGATCGAGCCCCGCATCGGGCTCCCTGCTCGGCGGAGAACCTGCTTCTCCCTCTCCCACTCCCCCTGCTTGTGTTCTCTCTCTCACTGTCTCTCTCTCTGCCAAATAAATAAAATCTTAAAAAAAAAAAGAAAGAAAGATGGGATATCCCTATAGATCCTATAGACATTAAATGATAATAAGAGAATGTTATGAATAGCTTTATTCCATTAAGTTCGATAACTGAGATGAAATGAACAAATGCTTTGAAAGACACAGACTACTTACTGAGAAAGAAATAGATAACTTAAATCATCCTGTATCTGTTAAAAAATTGAATTTGTAGTTAAAAATCTCACAAAGAAAACTCTAGGTCCAAATGGTTTTACCAGTAATATCTACCAAACATTTAAAGGAGAAATATCAATTCTATACAAGTCTTCCTGAAAATTTACAAGAAAACTACAGACCAATGTCCATTACAAACATAAACCCAGAAATCCTTAACAAAGTATTAGGAAATTAAATCCAGCAATAAATAAGAAGGGACTGAGTAGAGCTTTCAGGAATGCAAGGTACATTTTGAATGCAACATTAAAATATAAAATCCATCACATCAACATAAAAAAAAAGATCTCAGTAGATGCAGGAAAGAAAAGCAGTCAACAAAATTCATCACCTGTTCATGATGAAAACTCTCAACAAAGCAGGAGTAGATGGGAACTTTCTCAACTTGACAAAGGACATCTACAAAACCCTTCAGCTAACATCATACTTAACTTATACTTAGTGGTAAAATACAGTCTTTCTTCCTAAGATTGGGAGCAAGGATAAGATAGCCCACTCTTACTATTTCTAATCAGCAATATACTGTAGATCCTAGCCAGCATAATATGGCAAGAAAAATAATTTAAGTACATTCAGGTTAGGAAAGAAGAAATAAGACTGTCTTTGTTCATAGATCATATAATTTTAGTAGAAAACCCAAAGATTCTACAGAAAAAAGAAAACTACTAGATCTAACAAGTAATTTTAGTATGGTTGCAGGATATGGGTTATACAGAAATCACTTGCTTTTCTATATGCTAGTAATGAACAATTGGAAATTGAAATTGAAAACGTGTACCTTTCATAAGAGCACCAAGAACATGAAATACTTAGTGATAAATAAGACAAAATATATCTAATATTTTTATGCTGAAAACTACAGAACATTGATGAGAGAAATCAAAGAAGACCTAGATAAATGGAAACATATCATGCTTATGGATTGAAGACTCAATACTGTCAAGATGTCATTTCTTTCTAAATGGCTCTATGTATTTAACACACATCCCAATGAAAATCCCAGTAGGCTTTTTGGTAGAAATCAACAAGGCAGCTGTCAAACTTACGTGAAAAAGCAGAAGACTGAGAAAAGCCAAAAGTTTATAAAAAGGAATATAGAGGACTTCCACTCTCTGAATTCAAGACTTACTATAAAGCCACAGTAATTAAGACAGTGTTATATTATTGATAGGGTAGATTCCCAGGTCAGTGGAACAGAATAGAGAGTCCAGAAAATAAATGGATTATGGTCAGTCAATTTTGAACAAAGAAGGTAAGGTAATTTAATGGAAAAGGGATAGTTTTTCAACAAATGGTGCTAGCACAATTGGATATCTATTTGTAAAAAACAAACCTTGACCAATTCTTCACACATTGCACAAACCTAATTCCAAATGGATCATCCACTATAACATAAAACCTAAAACTATAAAACTTCTAGAAGAAAACACAGGAGAAAATCTTTGTCACTTTGAGCAAGGCAGAATTTCTTAGTGATACAAAAACAGGAACTGTAAAATAAATTAACACTTCTACTCTTTGCAGATACTCAAGAAAATGAAGAGACAAGCCACAGACTGGTAGTTAATATTTGTATAACTTATATGTTAAAGTACTGGTAACTAGAAATATAAGAACTATGAAAATTCAGTAACAGTCTAATGTTTTAAATGGGCAAAAGATGTGAATAAACACTTCAAAGAAGATATACAGATGGCAAATAAGCACATAAAAAGATGCTCAATCATTAGTTGTTAGGGAAATGCAAATTAAAATCATAACAAAATACTGCTATACACCTATTAGAATTGTTCAAAAACCAAAACCAAAACCCTAACTATGCCAGATGCTGACGAGGGGGTGGAGCAGGTCCATCTCTCATCCGTGCTGATGGAAATGCTGAATGGTGTAGCCACTCTGGAAAACACTTTGGCAGTTTTTTTGTACAGTTAAACATTTTAATTATGTTACCCAGCAGTCTCTCCTAGGTATTCTTTTTTTTTTTTAAAGATTTTTATTTTATTTATTTATTTCAGAGAGAGAGAATGAGAGAGAGAGCACAAGAAGGGGGAGGATCAGAGGGAGAAGCAGACTCCCGCTAAGCAGGGAGCCTGATGCGGGACTCGATCCCAGGACTCCAGGATCATGACCTGAGCCGAAGGCAGTCGCTTAACCAACTGAGCCACCCAGGCGCCCCTATTCTTTTTTTTAATGCAAAGAAATTATATTCCTGCAAAAATCTGTATGAAAATGTTTTTAGTACTTTTATTCACTATCACCAAATACCACAAACAACATGAATATTTATCAGCTGGTAATGAATAAAGAAATTCATATTCAAGTAATGGAATATTCATATAGCAGAATACCACTCAGCAATAAGAAGGAACAAACTACTGATATAAACAACAGGGATGAGTCTCAAAAGCATTGTATTAAATGAAAGAAGCCAGACTCAAATGGCTACATTTTATGTGATTTGTTTTATGACATTCTGCAAAGGGCAAAGTTATGGAAGTGAGAATTGGGTTTGTGGTTTCAGGGGCTCAGGGTGGGTAGGTGAGGAGATTGACTACAAGTGGGTATGAGGAAACTTTTTGGCACGATGGGAATGGTCAATGTATTGATCGTGGTGTGGCTACATGAGTGTGTAAGTTCTTCGAAACTCAGAACTGTACACCCAAACAGGGCGTGTTTTTAAAATTATATGTTAATTTTTCCTCAAGAAACAACAAAAAGCAAATGAAGCACTTACACTAGAGGATCTCTTATGATTTAGAACTTTCTTCTTTGATACTAACTTTCTGTTACCTCAAGGAAAAGAGAATTAGCAAGTGTGTTTAATCAGTTAACTTTAGTTCAGCAGTTCAAGCTTTGGCCTAACAGCCTTCTTTTTAAAAAATTGCTGTTGTCTTCAGAATTTATGGGACAATATCAAGTTGTTGAAGTTTTATTTTATGTTGTATTATACTAGCCTCAAAATCAGTTTTGTAGGTTTTTTCCAGTTGAGTTATAGGAGCAAGTTGCTGAAGACTTATAGGTAAGAAACATAACCCAATACTTAGCCTCTTGCTAATTCTTCTTTCTGAAACATGTTTCCTTTTTTTTTTTTAACGAATATCTTTGTCTATAAAGTTAATTATATTTGGACAGTTTGTGAACGCTGCCAGCACATTAACGATTGCTGGAAATATAGTAATCCTTAATGAAAATGCGGAGGCAAATTTCTAAAAAGCTGAAATGTCTCATTTTGAGTTCAGATAGTTTTAACCTCAAAAGTTAAATCAGTAACTTGTATTTTAAATTCATGCGTTCTTTCTGGAGATGATTTATTTGTAAGGATGTAAGAAGAAATGTCCTCCCTCAGGCTTCAAGAAAAACTAACCTCTCAAGGTCTTCTTTTGTTCTTTCTTCATTAGTGTTGTATAACAAGTTATTATTATTTTAATTGAGATTTAGATCTAGATATTTTATTAGTTCTGTGGAAAGTCACAAAAAGAAGCTCTTTGGAGTAGTTTATATAGGGTATACACTTCACTAACTTTTTTTTTTTTAATGGGATGAAGAAGGAGTAGTATATAGCACATAAAATTCTAAATTTTAGGGACTTTTAGGCCCCCCAAGGGTGTTAAAGTTCTGATATTTGGTGGCCATGGGTGACTCGATCCTCTTTCAAAGTTTTAAGATGTTCAGGTAGTAACTTAGGAGAATATCCAGAGCATGTGTAAGCTGCAGAAGACCAAGGCAGGGCCATTTCCCCCTCTAACATTTTGTTATACTAACATCTTTTTAAAAGTTTTTTATGATTCATTACACTAAGGACCTTATACAGCTTTCTTTTTTATGACGTTTGTGAGATACTTGATCGATTTCACCATATTTGGGACACTAATAAAGTATATCATTATATTTTAAGCTTCAGTTCATGTTCTTGTCTTATTTTTTGTTTGTTTATTTTTTAAGAGAGGGAGAAGGTGGAAGGAGCAGAGGGAGAGGGAGAGAGAATCCTAAACGCAGGCTCCACACCCAGCAAGAGCCAGACGTGGACTCGATCTCACAACCCTGAGATCATGACCTGAGCCAAAATCAAGAGACAGACGCTTAATTGGCTGAGCCACCCAGGTGCCTCTCATGTTTCTGTCTTAAAACAAAATGGTAGCCGATACAAGTTTTCAATAGACACATGGTCTATTTTTACTACTTCAGTGAAATGTTTCCATAATTATTTAATTTCTTGGGATTTCATAGACATGATTCCTCTAAAAGTTTAGGTAATAGAGAATAACATTCATGTTCATCCCCTTGATATTACTGGGATGTCTCAATCCTATGTACAAGTTAGATGTATTTGACTAGATCCATTTATTTCATTGTCTACAGAAGAAGATTATTTGCTCCAAATGGGTAGTCTTGCAGCCTTGAAAAGGGGGAAACTTGTACTGTGCTAAGAGTATTTAAATTAGGAAGCATTTATTTTATAATATGGCAACCTAGGAAACCCAATATTAAAAAAATACATAGTGTCCATAAGCCATCTAATTTATTGATACTGTTATGAGAGACATAAACAATTGCTCAGAGAATATGCAGTAGAGACAAGTCTGATGGAATCACCAAGTTGGATTTTTGCTGCTAATTACACTTCTGCAAATTCCAACAACCACCACACTGTGGTGCAGTCCTATATTCTAGCTCTTTTCCTCTAATAAGAAACAAATCATTTACACCATTTCAGCAAATTTATTTTCACCAACATCTTAGGTCTATGGTTCATTTGCATTTCAAGTCTTATCTCTACTTGCCAAAGGGAAAGCATTGTCTTCACTGATCTTCAAAGCAGTGTGTTCATATGGTGGACATAAGACGATACATTGGGATATTGGAATAAAACATTGGAAACAGGGCACCTGGGTGGCTCAGTCGTTAAGCGTCTGCCTTCAGCTCAGGTCATGATCCCAGGGTCCTGGGATCGAGTCCTGCATTGGGCTCCCCGCTCCGCGGGAGGCCTGCTTCTCCCTCTCCCGCTCCCCCTGCTTGTGTTCTCTCTCTCGCTGTGTCTCTCTCTGTCAAATAAATAAAATCTTTAAAAAAAAAAATTGGAAAATCCGTATTTACTTTTTACCTCTAAAACTTATATTTTATGTATGTTTTTAAATGTATACAAAGCATTAGGACAGTAGACTTCTATGTACCTTAATAAAGACACATTAAGGGTAAATTCTGCTTTGGTGAGTGATCAGTCGTGGCAGCCAGTGCTCTGGTTCTCTCAGAATTTCAGGTAAGCAAGTAGAGGGGATACACCCTCCCCTCCACACACACACAGTTTTTAATGCCTTATTTTTTTTAATGTCTGTGGACACTGTCTCTGAAAAATCAAATTGCTCCAAAACTTACTTCAAAGATAGTTTTTACTTGCTGGAGGATTTTGGGTGAGGAGAATTTTTCTCCTCACAGACTTTTACAATATTAGAAGAATTGTACTTTACAGCAGTTTTTAGCATGGGGTTTGGAGTCAAACGGACCTGGTTAGAGTTTAGACTCCTCCATTTACTACCTGTGTAACTGTAACTTTTACGTCTTTCAGTTTCCCAGGGGGACTTGCCCAACTTTAAAACAGTGATATAGTGATAGTTTTCAATAGATCCTTAGAAATTTAGAGGATGGGGCACCTGGCTGGCTTAGTCAGAGGAGCATGAGCCTCTTGATATCAGGGTTGTGAGTTTGAGCCCCATGTTGGGGGTAGAGATTACTTAAATAAAGTTCTAAAAAAAACTTTGAGGATGATACTTAAAAAAAAAGTTTCCCCTGATGGTAGAAACTGGTTGTTCTTTTGAATTAAATTAAATACTTAGCACAGAGCCTCACATACAGTTTAACAAATGATCAGTTGAAAATGCTGTAAGCATATAACTAATATTTAACACCTTCATTTTACAGATGAGAGACTCTTACTATCTCTCTTCCAGAAACGGTAATACTTTGTTTCCCATTTGCTTGCTCCAGGACTTTCAAATGCCAGTGGGCCCATTCTCATTTTGCCCTGTTAGCTCTTGTGGGCCACTGGTCAGCATATTTTTTCTGTAAAGGGCCAGATAGTAATATTTTATGCTTTGTGGACTGTGCTGTCTCTGTGGCAACTATTCAGCTCTGCCATTATAGCTTGAAAGTAGCCATAAACCATTTGCAAACAAATGGGTATGGTTGTGGTTCAATAAAACTTTGATTACAAAAACAGGTGGAGGGCCAGATTTGACCCATGGGTCATAGTTTGTCAACCCCTGATCTGGATGGACCCTTCTCCCTTCTCCCTAGGCTAAGCACCCAGGGCTGGTGCTACCACAGTCCAGCAATTTATAGAATTAGGAGGAAGGGAATAGAGTAGTCTACTCATAAAAGCAGTATTTCCTCAAACTAGTTAAGGCATTGACTCAATTTTAAATGCAAGTAATAGTCTCATGAACTCCCATTATTGACTTCAGTTTTATTTTAATGTCATAGAAATAGACAGATTTATAAAACAAGCTAATAACTTTATATCAGATCACACTATGAAACCATAAAAGTGGGTTGCATTTACAAAGAACACAGTACTATTCAAATTAATTACTCTGATAGATG